AAAATATAATTTATATGTTTAAAAATATTTATGTATACTAATTTGAAATATATGTATTTATATATGTATTAAAATATAATATTTATTTATATATAATTTATTATAAATTTAAATATACTATATATAATAAACATGTTTGTATATTACACAAACTAAAATATTAGTTTATTTGTGTTTATTAATAATTTTTATTTTAATTTAAAAATTTCAAATTTAAAAAATTATAATTATTATTAGTCATTTTATTTTTGATTATAATGAAAAGAAACCCTTAAAGAACACTAATTATAAAATATATCATTAAAACATTTATTATTAATATTTCTTATTAAAATTATAAACACTTAAGTACACAAATGCACGTGTATATATATATATATAATATAATATAATATAATATAATATAATAATATCAATATATTGTAGAGTTGATATCATGTGGAGAAAAGAGCATTTTAAGCACTTTGAACTTTTGTCTCTTTACAAATAAACACTTTTAGCTATTTTTATTTTGTCTGGATTAATACTTGAATCTTTACAATTTTTTTAAGAATTACTTTCCTTAAGTTCTGGTAAAATAATTAACGGAATCAATAATTTTAAATTTGTACCATTGATTTAAATTAAGTTCTAAACACATGATCATAATGAACAATAAAAAGAAAAAAGGTGCGGTTTCAGAAAATGTTCTGTAAAAATATAAACTTTCATTTAAAAGTGCAATTTTCATGATTAGGTACTCTTTGTGAAACACTTTGATTTTGTGTTCTCAGTTTTTTGATCTTAAGGTGACTCTCTTTCAAATCTATTAATGCACACACGGAGAGTCAATATAAAATGAAGACCAAATAAAATTCTAATATTATTATCAACTCATAAACTCTCAACACTGAGTCTCATCTTCGAATTTATAAAAATGTGTCAAAAAGAGAATTCCTAACATGTGTTATGCCTGCAAAGCATCAACAAAGGATGATTTTTATTTATTTATTTATTTTTCATATACCTGTAACAAAAGATTAAAAGGCTAAAAGTCTTTGGATTGTTGTAAAAGAGGCTCATTTTTGTTTAAAAGCAAAAACAAACTCAATATCATGTTCTGGTATAACTTTTAATTCAATGGTTTTTACTTTACTTTCTCTCTTTAATTTACTAGAATAACTGTCATTGTATATTATTTAAATAATTTGAAAACAATCCACTTAAAGTCAGGTACAAATTGATTCCATTAATTATTTAACCTTATTAACACCTTTTTTTTTTTATATTTATCATAATCGTGTATTGCAAATCTTTTTTACTCTTAGCCAGTTTTTAATTTACTTAATTATTCCATTGTGAAAGGAAAGATTTATTTAAATAATAATAATAGTTTAAATATTAATTAAGATAAAGTGAGAGTTGATGTACCATTTTGCAACTAAAATTTCAAAGTGCTTATATACTCTTTTCTCTATTATTTAAAACAAACATTTATATAAATTATATTAATATAAAATATTTTAATATATTTATATCCATAATTATTTTATAATATTTTTAAATATAATATAATTTATATATTTTAAATATTTAACTCCTCTAAAATAAAAGGTACACTTTAAAAGATAAAGTATAGTAATAATTTATTTATTAAAAAATCAATAATAAAACATTGTGATAAATCAAATATATATAATAGTGTTTAAAGTTAATTATAAGATTTATTTTTAATTTTTTAAATAAAGGTTATTATTGCACTTTATTTTGTAAAATGAAATCTTTTCACTTTAAAGAAATCAAATCTAAAATTAAATATAATATTTTATATATAATTTATTAAAAAATTAATTATATAAAATTAATATTTAGCATGTGTAATATAAAGGTTAGAATATTATTATTTTATAATATTTAGATTAAGTTGTATTTTTTTTATTCTTAATCCATTTTCATTTTTATTACTTTTATAGAATAAAAACAAAATTAAAATTATAATCTAGTCTAAATATTACAACTTTAATTCCTATATATAAGACTCAAATGCACAATTCATCAACATTAAAAATAATTAATCTAGTAGATAATAATAATAAAAAAATTTAAATTATTCTTATTCTACTTTTTTCTCTTAATTAATATCTATCTCTCTCTTAATCAAATAAAGTTCATGTCATGTCATTTACTACTTCTCTTTCATAAGTAATATCACTTATTCTCCTGACTAATTAAATATATGTCTTTTAAAAAGTATAATTAATGTATTTTATCAAATTAAGAGAACATGTTAAAAATATTTTAGTATAAAAATAATTAATATATTAAACACTTTGAATCAGGTCTTATACAAAGAAACAAATAATTATTTTAAGTTGAATCCGAATGAAAATAGTATTAAATATTAATTGTTATTCGTTTACTGTTAATTCATGTTTAACATTATTATTTAAAAATTTTTAAAAGTAAAATTATGAATTAAATGTTATTGAAAAACTGTAGTTTAGTAAAAAAAAATAATGTAACTGATTAAATATAATTAAGATTAAAACATTTATAATTAATTATATATTTTTTTTATTTGAAATAAACTTAAAAATAAAATAAAAAGGCACATGAATTTAAAAACCTTAAACATGTCTTTAATATTTGTAAAATGAATTAATTTTGATTTTAATTTTTATAAAATTTTTCTTTATTTTTCATCGTTTTAAAATTTTAAAATATTAATTTTAGTTCTTTTAAAATATTATTTTTTTAAAATAAATAAATTTTAATTTTAATCTCTATAAATATTTTTCTTTAATTTTCACACACTAATATAATATCATTAACAAATATAAATAACACTTGAGATAATTACTTAATTTTTTAATAGATAATTAATTTAAAATTATTAAATAGTAACATGAACTAAAAATAATCAAAACATCATACAAAATATTTTAAAACACCAAAATCAAAACTTATATATTATGTAACAACTAAAATTATATTTCATTTATTTTTTAAATGTAACTAAATGAATATATAATTGATATATTTTAATTTTAATTTTTATAAAATTTTTCTTTATTTTTCATCGTTTTAAAATTTTAAAATATTAATTTTAGTTCTTTTAAAATATTATTTTTTTAAAATAAATAAATTTTAATTTTAATCTCTATAAATATTTTTCTTTAATTTTCACACACTAATATAATATCATTAACAAATATAAATAACACTTGAGATAATTACTTAATTTTTTAATAGATAATTAATTTAAAATTATTAAATAGTAACATGAACTAAAAATAATCAAAACATCATACAAAATATTTTAAAACACCAAAATCAAAACTTATATATTATGTAACAACTAAAATTATATTTCATTTATTTTTTAAATGTAACTAAATGAATATATAATTGATATTTTAAAATTTTGAATTGAAAATAATTAAAATAAACAAGAAAAAAAATCTGATGCAATTAATGATAATAAATGAAGGATAAGACGATATCTTAACAGAAAATAAAATATTCTAGGATAATATGTTCTAAATTGGAGACTTAATTTTCGAAAATTAAATTTTTTATAATTTTAAAATTTAATTTTGGATTACTTTCTAAAGAGGGATCAGTTACCAAAGAAGGTGCAGCCCTAATCTAATTTATGCCTGCGGTTTCACTCATATGAGAACAATCAAATCCCTCACTCACTATTTGTTCCTATTCTGCTCTTTCTTCCATAAACTCACATTGTCTCTTCCGTTACTCAGATCAGGTAACACTCTTCGCTTGCTCTTTTTCTTCTAGACTTCTCACTCGCTCCAAACCTCAAAATCGTCAAAACCTCTCTCATTGCGAAAATTTATAATTCAATTCTATCTACTTTTTCTTTTCTTCTGTTTTCTGTTTTGATTTATTCCTATTCTCTTTATGGACACTTTTCTTATTTGCAAAACTCAATTGGTAAGATTTGCTGGGTGCTTATTATGGTGAATGAAATTTTTTATGAAAAGGGTGTAACTGTGCATGATTTTCGTCTGAAAGAATTTTTGACGGTTTTTTTCTTTTCTTTTTCTATTCTATTTTAACTTAGCTTACAAACTTTTAAAATTGTTATGTTATTAACTGTTGAGGTTATTGTAATTTATGTTGATTATTTTCTTTTGTGTGTGTTATGCAGTAGAGTTTATTTTGTTTTCTCAAAAAGTGTTATTAAAAAGTGGATTGGCTAGGTTGAATTTTTGGTCAATCTAGGCTGAAGTCAAAAACCTGCTGAATACAGCGTTCTGCAAAATCATTTATTGGAAATATTAAAGTATTGATTTTTATTTCTTGTCGTTATTCTAATAATAATAATAATTAGACTTATGTTACAAATTTAACGTTTGGATGATAATTTACTCTTTGCAGGTTATATATTCCCTATTCTTTTTTAATGTGTGAATAGAAGTCATTCAAAATCTGATTTGATTTTTCTTCAATTGTTGTTTCTTTGCGAGCAGTTTGCTAATCCTGTTTGTGTCTTTGCCTTGCATGTATTGTATTCGTTAGTTTGTTAGAAAGGGACAATGGATGTGGTTATGACACCAGCTAAAGAAGAACCTAATTCTGACGATGAGACAAAAGGGACTGAAAACACCATCATGACTGAAGAAGCCCTGGAGAAATATGGAGGCTGTAAGATATTGATTTTGAACTTAAAATCTCATTTATGCACTCTGCTATGTTATGTGGGGTTTTAATTGTGTTCTGCATGAAAATACTATGATTTTCTACTTTTGTATAGGCTCTTAAATTATTAAGAGTGTCTCTGATGGTGTTTATTTAATCAACACACTTTTTTGGGTTCTTGACTGAGTCCAATGTGGGTTCCATTATATCACATTTAAGCAATTCACATTTTTTTATTTGTACTTATTTTTGTTTTACTAATAAAATATTAGTTTTTAAGCTATAAATTAATTTTTTATTGACAAGGAAATCTTTCTTATACAAGAATCTGTGCTTAAATTTGAGCAATCCACCTTGCTACTTAGATTGGATCCAATAGGGAAAAAAATTAGGAACAGCTCCTTAGTTTAAATTGAAAATCACTATCCAATACCTTGCATACCTTCCAATATAAAATTTGTGACTGAGATTATTTTGCGCATGCATCCCAATGATGGTTAACAATTCAAGATCTATTCTGCCAAAATTTAAAACAAATGGGTACCAAGTCTCATGTATAAATCAGTGGTACCAATTTTTTCGCAAAAGGTTCACATCTTTAATATGTAGAGCTTGGATGTATTCTTTAGATTTCATGATTCTAATATGACACTTTTACCAACATGTAAACATGAATTTTCCAAGAAATTGTTTGGTATGTTTTTATTCTTGTTTGGCATACATATGTCTAAATTTTTATAGATGTTAGATGAATCCATGAAGTTACTTCCCCATAGGTGCATGATTCAGGCGTAGATCAGTAGAATGTAAGAGGGCTTGCATTTTTATATCATTCAAGTTTCTTCATAGTATGCAGGTATCTAGAGTGGCTTCTTCGTCTTTGTCTTTTAATGTGATGAATGCTTGTTAATTGATTGGCTACTGTTTAATATGATGTAATAATACACAAGCATGGCTAGTGGATTCACTTGGTTCACTACAAATTACTGATTAGGCAATTTCTTTTCTTCACAGCAGGCTTTGATTCCAGAGATCGAAGAAAAAGTAAATACCTGTCTTCCCCCTACACAAACATTGGGCCAAAGCAAAAGGATTTGCCTGCTGAAACAGAAGATTTGAGGACACCATGTCCTTCTCAGAAAGCAGAGGCTTCAAGTATAGCCACTATGCCTTTACATGGATCTTCTTCGAATGCTAAATTGGGTAGCAAGAGGTTCCGAAAGAACTGGTACAAAAAATTCATCAGCTGTAATACTATGTCCAGCAATCAAGAATTCATGAATGCATCTGCAGATGAATTACTTTCAGGACTTTATTCTACAGCCATTGATTGTATGTTTCCAGTTGGGAGTAAGAGCTTTGATTTAGTTGAGCGGTTCTTTTGCAGATATAGAGTATCAAACTATCATGATGAAGCTGAACTTGCTACTTCCCTGGTTAATGCGAAAGAAGAAAAAATTGGGGAACCTGTGGGTGATTTACCAGATTCCAAAACTAAGAAGAGAAAGAACAATAAAATGGAAAATACAGTTAGGCGTAAGCGAAAATCACTCTCTGGCCTATCAGATGTGAATGCAAACACTTCTAGTTGTGATTCTTTGAAGCCTGAGAGAATATTGAAACAAAAGAGGAAGGTAAAAGAAATTACTTCAGTGAATCAGCCACAAAATGTTGAGATAAATATGAATGGGAGCAGCAGCAATTACAGCTCAGTTCCTGAAGCTTCACAAAATCTTAGTTGCCTTGCTTCTGAGGGAAAGGCCGTGCATAAAAAGAGGGGAAAGATAGAAGCACAAAAGCATCAAAATACTCAAATTAATTCAGTGCATAGGGATGCAAAAAGCCACAATTGCAGTTCACTGGTAATAGATTTGCAGTTTACATCCCCTGCTATACCTGTTGATATTCCTGAGAAAAATAAATACGAAAATAAGGAAGAACTAGTTTTCTTAGCTTCAAATCCAGAGTCACGTGTTTCCCAGGAAGGACAAGTTGGGAGTATTATTGATCACAGGTTGTTGCTAAGTACTAAGGCTGGGGTTGGTACTGTCCTGGGAAATAAAACAGGGTTGAAGAATAGCATGGGAAAAGCAGCAGAAGTGCCTCTCAATACTAAACTTGCTATAGAGAAAACAGGGCTGAAGAATAGCATGGTGAAGGCAGCAGAATTAGCTCTCAATACTAATCTTGCTATAGGGAAAACAGGGCTAAAGAATAGCATGGTGAAGGCAGCAGATTTGCCTCTCAATACTATACTTGCTATAGGGGCAACAGGGCTGAAGAATAGCATGGAAAAGACAGTAGAAAAGCCTCTCAATACTAAACTTGCTATAGAGATACCTGATTTGAATGGTACTGGCTCTGAATACAATTCAATCAGTCCAGAATTTGATGGTGTCAATTTCTTTTCACCTGAACCGAAATCAGAGCAGTCAAGAAGCTTTTTAGAATGTTCAACACCTACTACCAAAACTACTTCTTACAATAGACTGGAGGATAATGGAGAATCACTTGGAAACTGTCTTCTCCTACGATTTGCCCGTGAAGCGTATATCCCATCAAAAGAAGATTTAATGACAACTTTTTGCCGGTTTGGTCCTTTGAAGGGGTCTGAAACTCAGTTGTTAAAAGACACTGGTAGTGCTCAAGTTGTTTTTGTCAGAAGTGCAGATGCTGCAGCAGCATTTCATAGTTTACAGCAGAACAAATTTGTCTTTGGTTCTACTGTTGTTGATTGCAAGCTCCAACATCTTTCTGCAGCCTCTCCACCTGCAGAGCAACTTGTGACCCCTGCCCAACCAACTGGTTATACGACAATGCCTGGTGTGACCCCTATCCAACCAAATGGATATAGGACAATGCCTGGTGTGAACCATACCCAACCAAATGGGTCTATGGTGGCAATGCCTGGTGTGATCCCTACCCAACCAACTGGGTCTGTAGCAATGCCTGGTGAGACACCTCCCCTTCAGTTTATTAAGCAGAACTTGCAGATGATGACATCAGTCCTGGAGAATTCTGGGAGTAGTCTTTCTCCCCAGATGAGAGCCAAACTGGATACTGAAATTAAAACCCTTATGAGAAAGGTGGATTCTAGGACAAAGGCCTGAACAGTGAGTGCCACTGGGAGCTTTTATTTTAAATTAGTCATCACTGTAGTTAAGTAGTTTAGAGTAGTCAGGGTTTAAGTTCTGGTCCTCTTTCAGGCCTTGTACTGGTGGGCTTTCCTCCCATTCTTTGACTTCTGAACAATTCATTTGAATGGATCAACGATATTTATGAATGAATGTCATTTGATTCAATATCAGTTCAAGTGCCTACACAGTTTTCATTTGTATTTATGATGATATATTAAGGGACAAGGAGAGATTTATGTTAAAACATATTAGTACTTTAAAATACAAAACATTCATATTCTTTCCTGAAAGTAAAAAAGTTTCAGTTACATTAGTCCTTGAACATTGGGTATATTAGTCATTTATTGATTTTTTTAAAAAAGTTTTTACGGACTAAGGTGAGTTTTTTATTTTGTCAAGGATTAATGTCTGTCGTCTTTCCCCAATAATAAGTCGGGGATTTACAATTGTACTATAGAGGCATCTGGCAAAATATACCGAAGTAAAATATATTGTTGGATCCATGCTTGTCCATGAAAAGCATTTGATCAGTACATATTCTAGGATTATTATGTGCCACGTTCTTAATGATGATTTACAGTAATAATTAATAAATAAATAATGTATAAATATGTTAATTTAACGTTCTTTTTGTCAATTTAAAAATTTTCAATTTGTCATTTTAATTATAAATTTTAAAAATTAAAATACATCAAAGAATTAACCGCACACATTGCATAATAAAAGTATTTGTCAATCACTAATATTTAAATGGACAAGTAGAATATCATGGATACTGTTAGTGCTGATTTTTTTATTATATATAATATAAACTTAAATATATTTTAAGTATTTCACTAATTAAAATAACGGTTGAAGTTGTATGTATAAGATCTTATCTTCAAATCTTGGTGCTTTCATTATAATATTAATAGATAAAAAAATAAATTAATTACATAAAAATCATTTTCTTAAGAAACATTTTGGGATATGCATATGTCTAATAATTATATGAATCTAGTGAGATTTTTTTTAATTTAAATTTGCTAAAAATTAGAATTCAAATATATATGAGTGTTATCAATTGATTTAAATGAATAATATTTTTTTGATAATTTAGCATGAAAAAGTAGGGGTCTAAGTGGGTACGGGTAACCCGTGAACTCAAATTGACCCAAATGAATCCAATGAACTTGGATCGAAGTTTTTCGATGTTTGGGTCAGATTCAATCTAACTCGACCAAAACTCTACATTGTATGGGTTGGGTAACGAGTTTTGAGTTTTTAATCCGTTATCTGACCCAACCCAATCATATATTATAATAATAATAATAATATTTAAATAATCATTTGTTCAAAACAATACTCACTATCAGTTTTACTTAGTAACAAGTTTTATGTTTTAGGTTAGTAAAATTGTAACAATATAATATATTTATTTTAAATTTTATTTTTTATTAATTAATGTTTGTATTTTTAGTTGATAATAATGTAACAAATTAATAAATTTATTTTAGAATTAAATTTATATCATTGTTTGCTTTATAGGTTGATAATATTGTATTTGTAATAATGTATCAAATGATTTACATCTATTTTGAAATATATAAATTTTTACAAAAAAAAATTGAATTATGTTAACCCAATTAATCCAACTTAACCCAACCCATTTGTGGTTGGGTTGAATTGAATTTGATTTTTAAAAAAATTACACAAATTCGACCCAACCCAACCCGTTAAAATTTGATTAGGTCGGGTAACGAGTTCATCCAAACTCAACCCAACCCAACCCGCTTACATCCCTATGAAAAAGAGAAAAAAAATCAATCACATGTGGGGAGCATGACACTCGAGTGCCAACTTCAAGTACCAGGCGAATTCCTAGAAGAACGTCATTAAAATAGTAGTATCTTTCCTGTTGGGAAAATCCTACTCAATTTTCAAGCATCGACGGATACAAAATATTGTCTATGGATGATAAAACGAGTCAGCTTGACTGCTTAGGCTTGTTAACTCGCCAAAAATGAATCGAGGTAGGCTAGTCTATTAAGTAAAAATGGTTGGATGTTCTGACTCACCCTCTTAAAGGATGGTTAGTGGGATGACCCAACAAAAGAATTTTAAAAAAGGAAAAATAAAATTTTTGCATATTTATTTTAGATACTTTTTCCAACTTATTACTTTCCCAATATCTAAACCTACATAAATTAGTATACCTAAATAATAAAATAAATCTTAAGTTATAACAAATTTGATTTGATTTGTTGCACATCGAATCTCAAATTTGCTACATAATAAAATAAATATGTGATTATAATAATAAAAACAAAAGTAATAATAACTCTTCCAACAAATTTGTTGCATAAAAAATCTCAAATTACATATAATAAAATAAATTAAATGTATAACATATTTGTTGCACAGTAAACAAAAAATTATTCACATAATAAATCTCATATAACTTATTTAAACTTAACATTAAAAATAAAATAATAATAATAATAATTAATAATAATAATAATAATTTAGGCTAGCTAGCGATCCAACCTATCCCGGCTCACCATTTGCCTCGATGAACTAGCAGATTAGATAAGGTGAGCTAGGAAAGTTAGGATGCCTAATCCGGCCCGCCAATTTTTGGTTGACCAATGTGTTGGCCCGCTAGTTGGGCCTCATTTTGTCATCCCTACCCAAGTTAGTGGAGACAATTTCTTTTAAAAAATGAAAATTAATAATAAAATTGTCATATATAGAAATAGCAAAGCATAAATATTAAAAAGTCTTGATAGGTTTAATATAAGATCTTTATTAGGGTGTTCATGAATTGGTTTGATTCAGATTAAGGGTAAATTAAAGTTTGAATCAATGAATTTTGATTAATTTAGTATGGATTAGATTTTCATAAAACAAATTTGTGGAATGAACCAAACCTTTGGTTTGGTTAGGTTTAATTGGCTTTCTTGAAAGAAAAAAAGTAGATATTTATTTTTTGAAACAAAAATACATTATTTTCCCATAAAATTAAATAAAACCTATTTATTTTTTAAAAGAGTGTAAATAATGTTCAAGTGTGAATAAAAAAGTAATGTAGGAAATATGAAATTAAAGTTTTCAAATATAATCTAACATTTGAAATTAAAGTATTTTAACATTTAAAATTATATGTTAGTCCCTTAAACACAACTAAATTGTCAAAGTTATGAAATATTATCTAAACCAATCAAAAATTATTATCCTAGTATTTATGTATTCTTTTCTTGAAATCAACATGCAAATAATATATTAAGTGAAAATCGGTTTTAATATTTTTTAGTATTTAGTCTGATGGCTAGATTAAGACAAAGTGATCAATGACTCTAAAACTGGTAAGAAAGTGACAAAGTCAAATGACTAGGACATGCAATGTGCATCTAGGTATCAACCATGTAATAACTAATAAGTGAATGTATGATAATTAATAAAATAATAATTATTATAAAATATGTTAATATTATTAAATAATAATATCATAAAAGAACTATTCTTATGTGTTGAACTTGTGTGTTACTAATAAAATCATAATATTATAAAATAATATTAAGATAATAATTATAATAATAATAATAATTCAAATTGGTCTAGTTCTTGGATAGTTGGATTTGTAAAATAAAAATATGTGATCTTAACTAATTAAAGTTGAACTTAACTGGTTTGGATTGCATTTAATTTGATCAAGAAAAAAAGTCGAACCAACTTAATTGGTTTGGTTCAGATTGTCCGAACTAGAGATGTCAACTGGGTAGATCGGGGGCGGGTTTCTCTCCCCCCATTCATGCTCCAATAAAAGGCGGGGTGGATTCAGATTTTAAAAAGACAAATCAATATTTTTAAACTCATCCTCATCCACATTGAGTTTTGTTAGGTTTGGATAAATTCATGTGGAATCCATCACTTTTTTTTTGTATAATTTTAATTTACTTATACATTTTAAATTAAAATAAATTACAATTTAATTATTGTACCATCCACATCAGTACCGAGATCCACCTCGACCCCTGATCATTGGACCACATCGCCCAAAAAGATAAAACCATTCCCCAACTCACAAGATAAAAAGATAAATGCGCAATCTTATCCTAACCAACGAGATATTGACATGAAGGGGGAAAAATCCTAATAACATCAAGGTGTGTGCACTATATATATGAGACACTCACATCTACAGAAACTAACTTAAGCATCAGAGTCTCTTTTGCAGGTACCACCCCCATCTCGGAGTACCCAACTTGCAAGCTAGAGGAGACCCATCAATCTCATCGGAGAGGTTGTCATTAGACCAGCTTCAGGTTAGAACATCTTGATGCCCACCGTGGGGTCAGAGAGCAATTCTTCTTCGGACAACCTTAAGGTTTCTACCCGAAGCCACAATAAACGAGCAGTAGATGACGAAGATCAAATCGCACCAAGGACGGAAGGAGACGCAACACTTTGACGTTTGGTCGAATAGATCAAACAATTGCGACAACAAAATACCGAAGCCCTCGAGGCTATGTGCGCTCAATACCAAGCCGATCTAGAGGCCTTACATGTAGAAAACGAGCGCATCCGAGCCCAACTCCCCTCCCACCAACCTCCTCAGTAGAGTAATCGCCCCGAGGAGGAACATAAGTCACCCTCAGCACCACCAATGACGCACCGGTCCCAAGTGCCCACACATCGCTCTACCCACGAGGTCAGCCACGGTCCCAACCTAACCCTCGCGTATCGGATGGGCGTGAGATGTCATCCTTTTATTGATGACATCATGGAAATGTGATGCAATCATGCCTAGGAAAGCATGGGGTGACACATTGAAAGAGCCAAGAGGAATGGGCTAGACATGAAGGTTTGGGCCAGTTAAGGCCCAATGGGCCCGATGGGCTTGGAAGGCCCAAGTTGAGCTTCACATGGGCCATATCTTGTTTTAGCTATTTTTCTATGTCTTCTATATATCATGTTAGTATAGGTTTCCTATATTTTGAGTCTTGTATTTTGGACCATTTAGGATAGCATTTTAGGCCATAGGCTTATTGGGCCTATTTTTGATAGGCTTGTTGGGCCTAGTTTTGGGCTTCATGGGCCTTTGGGCTTTTGGTACCCAATATTGGGCTCATTTTCATTCTTGTAATTTTTCCTTTCCATTGTATTTGCTTGGCCATTGTATTTAGGCCAT